CAAGTTGAGAATGTAACTCCCAGCCCTGGTTCTCTTCCTCCAGAGGCAACCAGCATTTGGAACCATCAGATGTATGTGTCTACTCTAATCTGCTCATCAATGCTTTGGGGTTGATTATCTGACTGCGGGATGTGTGTGTGGTTGGCGACTGCTCCTAATCTAGTTTAACCATGCCATCGGCCAGCCTGAATTGTAAACGTGGAGGCGCGTGGGCCCATGTCCATGAGACTTGCTCCGTACTATGCCTGTCCCAGTGCCCATGCACGCCAGCCCTTAATAAATGCTTCCATTGATTAATGAATGCCAGGGGCTTCCTTGCTGTGACATTGACAAGCACTAGAAAAGCTGTGGACACTTCTGAGCGCTGATTTTTTTTTTAACCTCCCCTTCCCCAAGACATCAGTCTCCAATTTGTGAATCCAACCTGTTTTGGAGGGGTTTAAGAAAACAATACTTATAGTCCTCACAACTTATTATACCCGTGAGAAAGCACTGAGGTGCACAGTGGTTATTGATGTGGGGAGGTGGGAATTCACAGCTGATTAAAGTTTTATAGAGGATCTGGGGTGGGGTTTTAGGCTGTCGCAAATTGACCTAAGCTAGTTTGGTTTTGCAAAAAACGATTAGGTTCTTTTTGGTAAATCTCTGCAGCCTTCAGTAATTAGAGGTGGGTGAGGGCATAGGGCTCCTCCCCACATCGTGACACCAGGCTATTGTGAAAGCAAGTCTCCAGGCCAAGTTCTGAGCAAGCTGTGCAAAGCCGTCCTGTGACTTGTTCTGTAAATTCCGTGAAGTGCCAGCCCTCAGTCCTTTTAAGAGCTCCCACAGTGCCTAACAGGAAAGTTTGCCCGAGGCAAATTCAAGGGGGGTCCTGCAGTGGGATACTCTAGCTTTCTAGTCTGACTCCAGGGGCGCAAAATCCACCAAATCAGCAGCTGGGTGCACGCAGGAGAGCTTAGGAGTGCAGCCCACCGTGCCATTCCTACAAGAACAAACCACGGGGTGTTCCATATTTTCCTCCTCTGCGCCTGCAGGAGCTGGAATGCTGCTCCTATTCCTAGCCGACCCACCCCTCTTGAACCCCGCTACTTTCACCAATGGGGACTCATTTCTAAGGCCCTTTATGCTAATGAACAAAACCTCTGGGACTGATTGAAACACAGGTCGGGGTGGGCTCTGGAGGGTGCACTTGTGATCAAATGCTAACTGACCATTCCTAAATGCGTGTCCCCAGTTAGGCTCACTACCTTCTCTTCAAGTAGATGAAACCTAACACATACACACATCCATACCAAAAGTCCCACAAGGAATTTACATTACAGATCACAGAACTACTGCATGTTTTCTGCTCTGGTTGACACAGATGCAATTGAAGAGCCTACGACAATTTAGCACCCCCTGTGGTGAAGTTTGGAACTGCCCAATTAGAGGAAAAAAATGCTTCTTGTTTAGCCAGCCAGCTCTTGACAGATTACAAAGTGTTTTATAGCACGACAGCAGTGGCCAGAGGGAGGGACTCCCTGACCTTCCACCTCAATTAGGGCCGTTCTGCTTCCTTGTCAACTTGCACTGGCCCACCGGATTGGCGGCCTTTAAAAGTTTGAAAACCTCTGTGATAGCCCCTGCAGAGGAGAGGGAAGGGAAGAGGGACAGCAGGAGGGAGGGAGGGTAGGGGGAAGGATAGGGAAGGGTCGGGAAGGGAAGGCCGGATGGATGGGAGACGGGATGGGAGGATGGATGGGGAGAGAGGGAGTGTGGGGCAGAGGCCAAGGATGGGAGAAGGGATGGCAGGAGATACAGCAGGAGAGGAGTCCCGGCTGGCCTCTGTGAGGAGGCAGGAATCCTGAGGAGTGCCCCTGCTGTGATTTGGAGAACCCTCAGTTCACCTGCCCTCCAGGAGGCAGGGTAGTGGCTGCTGTGCTCCCACCTCTGGAAGGAAGTGGCTCAGAGTGCTGCCTGCAGCCTGAGTCAGATGTCAGCCCTTCCCCCAGGCACAAGAAAGCACCTGCCCAGGATCAGGCCAGCTTCTGGAGCAGCCCATCGTCAGGGGCTGCTCTCCACAAGGCTTTGGAGGCTCACCCCTCCGGCCCAACTCCTAATAGCTCCAAAGGGTGACCCCAGCTCCAGGGCTTTCCATGGGGTCAGCTAGGCTCCCGTCCAGCTAGCACTGTGGCTCAGTTTCCTCCTCTGCCTTCTTCTCCTCGAAGACCCTCCCTTCTGTGCATGCTAATCCTAGAATCGCTCCCTAAAAATGTCCTGCGTGCTCATTTCCATTTCATTTCCACATCTGCTGCCCCAGAAGTCTGAGCTGCAGCATCCTGACTGGGTCGCTCTGCCTACCTGAGGCTGTGGAGCTTGGACACAGCGTGTTGGCACTGGTGCCATAGCCATGGAGGGGAGGAAAGAGGCAATAGCCAGCTTTAACAGCCAGCTAGAGTTTTCATGTGCCCAGCTCTAGCTGCCTCTCTCTCTTCCTACCCTGCAGGCTCTTCTGAGGGTGTTAGACCTAGGTTTCTGGCTGTGTGCATTCTTGAACCTTCCTTTTCCCTGTGAGCACAGTCTCCCACATCCTGTAGGCTTGCCAGCTGAAAATCTAAGGGGCAGAAGAGAAGAATGTGGACACGGGGAGGGAAGGGGAAGATGAGGAAGAACTTGCCTGTGTCTAATATGCAGAGTGGCCCCTCTTACATGCAAAATGTGACAACTGACCCTCCAAACTGCTCCCTCCTGCCCAGGGGAGGCTGGCCTCCCCACAGGCTATTTCCCTGGGCCTACTTGGCTGGGGATCAGGCCCATTGTTAATAAGTAATGACAGCCCAGCTCCTCCATGGATTCCCCTGGGGTTTTGTGTCAGAAACGTGTTCCCTCGCTGCCGCTGGAGCTGACAGGCTCCGGTTCCGGGCAGGCAGCTGTGAACTCAGGCCAGCCTCCACCAGGATGCCCTGCGTCACTGGGTCCAGAGCCCCAGGGCAACGAAGATGGTAATCCCTTCCCTCCTCCCTTCTCAAGGGAGGTTGACCTCAGCTGTCTGCAGGGACCCCGGCCGGAGGGGAGCTCATGGCCTCCTTCAGTAAGGGGTTGGGGCTGGGCCCTGGTGCGTGGTAAATTCCAGAAACCTTCAGGCAGTAGGGGAAGGCTGCATTGCCTCAGTTCCTGCCTCTGCTCTGTGGGGTTATCTGCTTGGGAGGGTGGTGGTTGATGTCTAGGAATAGGGTTTTTCAGGTGGCCTTGCTGACTAGCAGGAAGTTCTTTCTGGTGTCTGACCTAACACAGCACATTTAGCACTGCACATTTGCCCAGAAAGAGTGGGAACCCTTGGGAGAAAAAGAAAATGTTTGTTCCCCCTGGCCAATGCCAAGTCATGTTTTGAAATACAGGCTTTATTATTATGCAGGTATGGTGAGGACAACAGATCAGATGTCTGCCATAGAATAGATAATTGGTTATACTTATAAATCCCAAGAGCAGGGGGCACGCCAAGGTATGTAGGAGGTTGGGGACAATGGGGAAGCACTGGGGTTGGTCAGGAGGCAGAGGGAGAGGGGAACCGGGGGCAAGCGCCTTTATTGTGTTTTCCATGGGAAGGAACAGGTGAGGGAGGATAAGCAGGTTTCAGATTGCCTAGCATGAATCATCTCAGTGGGCTCTGGGGCACAGGGGCTGTCCCTAGTTGTCTCATTAGGGCAGGTGGATGAGAACTTGGAGTGTGAGAGCCAGATAGAGGAGGTGGTTAGGAGTGTGGGCTCTGCATTGGCTGCTTTGTGTTTGAAAGGTAAGCTCCTAGTGGAGTTGTTTCTCTAGGAATTGGCTAAGCATGGGAGGGGCAGTCCCTCCAGAGCCACCAAGGCAGATGTCAAAGCATCAGAACACAGAAAATAAAAGGCATGGTTAATACAGGTTCTTTCTTAGCCTTTGGATCTTTTATACTTTCAATGGTTTGTATTTCCTGCAATAAAACTTCAGTTTATTATTATTTGAAATCCACTTAGAGCACATTCCTAGCAACATTATTAGTAATAATGGAAAATTGAAACAACCCAAATGTTCATCAGTATAAGAATGGTTAAGTAAACAACTGGGCTTGCCATGCCATGGAATAGTATACAGCAAATAAAAAGAAAGACATTCTTATGCACACTGGTATCTACTGACCATGCAGATGTGCTAAAATTTTCAAACTGGTAGAATGATTCACATACACATTGCAGTCCCATTTGTATAATAACAGAATGAATAATAACCAATCTTTAGGTGGTAGACGTGCATACATGTACACAAATGAATAGAAGTGTCTGGAAGAATACACACCCAAGAGTTAGCAGGTTTTGCCTCTAAGGAGGGTTTTGCAGGTTGGGTTCTCAGGGAGGTAGGTGTTAAGATGGAGTCAGGAGTACAAGGGTTTATTGGGAGGGGCCCCAGAAAGGAGAAGGGTGGAGGCAGGCTCAGGCAGCAGCACAGGGGGAGCCCTGAGCAAAGGGTGTCCACTAGAGCAGCCTCGCCTTGGGCAGAAATGACTGCTCCTGAGTGTCACCACCACCTTGCTCAGCAGTTGGTCGGGGCCACCCAGAGAAGGGCTGGGTGGACTGTGAGGGTGTCAGCTGACCACACGCAGAGCAGCTGGAGGCAAATCAGAGCAGCTCAGCTCCATGTCTGCTGCAAAGGGTATGGGGTGTGAGGAGGACGAGGTTACAGGGAAACTTTTACTTCCCTGGCCTTTGACTTTGTACTTGGAGACTGTGTCTCTGTATGTAAGTTATAAGCAGAGAGACAGGCAAATATTGTAACCGGCTCAAAGCTGTGACTCCTCCCACTCTTATCGCAAGTCCTCGCATGCTCTCAGCAGCTGCCGCAGCCCCGGAATCCACCCAGCTGCAGCGTTTACAGTTTCTTTTCGTCTGGCTTTAGCTAACAAGACCATATGCTCCTATGTGCTTTCTCCTCTTCTGACTATGCCTTCCTAATATCATTAACATTCCTTTCTAGGAACGGGTTTGCAGCACTTTGCAGACTCAGTGTGCCAGGTGCGAAACTAATGCAAGAGCTTAGGGCCTCACAGGAGAGACGGAGAGTCACGTTAGCAGCTTCATGTTTTTCAGGGCAATGCATGCTCCTTGCTGATGGAGAGGTTCAAGCTAGGAGAATTAGCATCCCAGAGGAGGAGGGCATGGTTCTGACCATCATGAGCATGGCTCATCTCAGGGCAAGCTTCTTAGATGAGTGGCCTTTGAACTTGGCCTTGAAGGATGGAGAAGGGAGGAAAAAGCATTTCAGTCAAAGGGAACAAATAGCAGGAATACAGTCAGGGGGTGGGAATAAGCAGCATATTTATAGGCTCCAATATAATTTGAAAATCCAGAAGTCAGGCAGACTTCAGACAGTCCCAATCCAGTGTCTCCCATAGTATCTCCCAAGATTGGGCTTCTCTTCATCCTGCCCTATGGCATCCCATTCATTGTCAAATTTTAAACCACGGCTATTCTGCAGCTCCAAATTGCTTATAAAATGGCTGCTACCATTCCAGACCTCACATCCTTACACACACTGGCCAGGGGAAAAGAGAACCGCTCCTTCCATCAAGTGCCAGGGAAGACACTGTTAGCATCACTTTCTTGTAATGGTCCAGCAAATGTTTCCTAACATCTCATTGGCTCTAGATGGGTTATGTGCCTATCCCTAGGCCAATCACTGAGGTCGGGATGGATTTCTAGGCACTAGAGGGATTTATTGGTTGGAGATAATTTCAGTTTAAAGATGTCAATCCTATAGGGGCAAACAAGCTTTAGAACTTGCCACTTACTCCTAAATCTAGAACAGGAGTTGAGATACAAATGTAGCACAAGCTTTCAAAAGCATCGTTAGTGGAAAAGACAGGACAACGTAGAGATCTATAATTTTTTTCCCTGCTACACTTTAATTGCCCTTCGCTGGCGTGCACTGCATAAATTAAGAGCTAGTTAATGCTGTAATGCATAAAACAATTTCATGCATCTTAAATATTGCACTTGTACTTTAATTCCACATTAAGTGGTCCCCTGAAATTTTTAAATTTACAAAGTCACTGCTGTGCTACATGAAAAAGGTGCTAATTAACTGTTAATCAGTAGCCAGATAACCTTCCCTGAACCCTGCCCAAGGTCTCCAAAATGACCCATTGCCAGAGAATGTGATGTGATGGCCACAGAACAGAGAAGCAGAAACAGACGCGAAATGGTTTCTTAGCCACATCCCAGCCAATTAAGGCAGATTTGCCTATTATGCAGTTCTAATTAAATGACATTCACTATAGTGGACACGAGGCTAATAATAATAATAATAGTATTTAATACTGGCAGAGCTTTTCATATTCAAAACACTGGGAAAACACTAGCTAATTAACAAGTGGGCATCCCTTTCTGGGCAAGGAGAGGGCATCATTTGGGTGGTCCTGCTAGAAATCTCAAGGCCTGCACAAGGATAGATAAAACAAAAAGTAGTCCCTCCCTTTCAGGGACTCATCATCTTACAGACCAGCCCTGTTCAAAGGGTGGTCTGTGGACCAGTAGTGGTCCACAATAAGATAAGCACAGAAATTGAGAGTAACCATTCTGAAACCTTGAAAGCAACTTGATCTTGTTGTGACATCCAGGTGGGTGATCCTTAGACTACTGTTGGGCAGCTAATAGTTCAAACTTCCAAGGTGAATGTCATGGGGCATGAGCACCATAATAGTTATAAACAGAAGGGCTACATATAGTCAATGATAGACTGGAAATTGAACACACACACACACACACACACACACGTTCTTCACCACAGATGATTTGAGAGACACTGTCATAGACCTATGGGTGTAGAAAAAGGGGATATGGGTTTAGTTACATCCCCACAAATAAAGGAGAGGAGGCTTAGCAACATGCACTTTCACACATCTATATTTTCCTTCCTGCTATTTCTCTGCTGGAATGTTCTGTGTGTCCTGAGCTCTCCCACTTCCTGCCCAACTTCTTTCACACACATGAAGTCATCTCAGTTCCTGGAAAGCCCTGCTAAGATACTACTTCCCCTGCAACACAGCCGGCCCTCCTGCCTCTGTGCTACCTCGTGCTGGGCACACTGCATTATTGTGCTTTCCACAGGGCACCAAGTACATTTATGTTGCTTTGCTCCCCAACAGGACTGACTGATCCTTGAAGGTAGTGCTGATGCGTTATGGCTTTGAATTCCTAGTGCAGAGCACACAGTAGATGCCCATTACATGTTTACCAAATTCAGTGTTTAAAAATCGTGTAAAATACATGTAACATAAACTTGACCACTGTAATCATTTTTAAGTGTACAGTTCAGTGGCATTAAGGCCATTCACATTCGTATGCCACCATTCAGGACCATCCATCCCTAGAACCTTTTTCATTTTGCAAAACTGAGACTCTATCCCCGTTAAACACTAACTCCCCATTCCTCCATCACCAAGCAGCCCCTGGCGACCACCATTCCTGTCTCTTATGAATTTGACTACTTTAGGCACCTCATACAAGTGGAATCATATAATATTTTTTCATTTGTGAATGGCTGATTTCATTTAGCATGTCTTTGAGGTTCATCCATATTGTTGCATGTGTAAGATTTCCCTTCCTTTTACATCAATTCCATTAAAAAATATTCAAACTTATCATACAGTTTTGCGATGTGAAGGAACGGCATCCCCTTCCCTGCCCCGGTTCTGTTTGTGTTTGAAGGAGAGAGGAGGAGGGAAGAAAGGGTGTTGATGATCCAGGAGGTGGCAGCAGAAAACAAAGGGGCCCTGTGCTCTGCAGAGTTCCTCGGCGCTAATTCTGGCCCATTTGCTCTGGTTCCTGCTCAGCTCTTTTGAAAATTGGAGTTCCCAAATCTAGACAGCCTGCCCAACAAGGAATGGGCCTGAGGAGCTTTCTGACAATGGGCAGCAGAGTGCAAATGACAGTAGAAATGGACTTGAAGTCCTACATGGGGTCCCATCAATACCCACTGGGTGACCTTGGGCAAGTCACCTAACCTCTCTGAGCCTGGTCAATAAAAGTGGGAAGATAATACAGCGCATCATCCAGGGCTGTTGAGGGTATCTGATGGCATAATGCATATAAACCACTTAGTAAACTTTAAACTACTGCATGTACCAGTACAAAAGCCATAATACAGAGGAAGAAGACAGCATGGCTCATTCTTTGCACTTCCTGATAAGTTAGTGAAGAATAGCTACAGCATCATTTAGCTTTCATCTTTGGGGCATTTCTGATTTCTTTATTTTTTCCTCCCTCCAGTCTCCAATTCTTTGCCTTAGGAGTTCCAGGTCCCAGCCAGCTGAATATCATTAACTGCCACTGCCCTGCCATCTGAGAAACAAAGAGGCAACCTGGGATCATTCAGGGTGTCAGCGAACACAGATTGGAAGTGTGAGCCATGCAGTGGGTTGGGTGCTGGGGGCAAAAGGTGAAGGAGCCAAGTGGTTTGCCCCAGAGGAGCCCACAGTGTAGAGCGGGACCCATGTGTAAACAGATGTTGACGGCATCTTCTATTTGCCCCTTCCATGCTCCGCTCTCCTCCTGGTCCTGGGCCCCAAGAAACTGACCCTTCTGCACTCATCTCAAAGGGGTCCTCACCCTCTGGCTTCCGGTTGGCCAGTTACAGCCCATGGAGAAACCCCATCAAGATCTCAGAGGGCCAGAAGAGAATGAGCGAAAGATTTACTCCCCACCTCCTTCCTGTGAAGCCTCCTTGGGCTGCTGACCCTTCCACCGAAGGTCCCTGCTCCTTTTAAGGTAGCCTTCTCTACTCATCTCTAACCCCTTCTCAGTTTGGGTAACCACGACCACCCCTTTGACTCTTTGGGCCCAGGGTGGTAACAACACTGCCGACAGCTTCTGCTTCTTGCACTGTCCCTGTGGTTCCCCTATACCCACATCTTTATTGATGGTCCTTTTGTACGTAAATACTTCTGGAACTCTCTTAACTGCTTCCTGTTGAGACTCTGCCTGTTCCACCGTGTGGACAGGGCCATTCCAAGCAGGGTAAGCGTTACTCTGTCTCTCTCCTGTACCCCTGTGCCCCTCCCAACCCCCCACCTCGTCCCCAGCCTAGCTCTTCTCATTTCAGGCTGTAGCTGAAGGAAGCAAAGGAGTCAGGTTACGTCCATGGAGACAAGGTAGAGGCTGGGGAAACCTGGATGTCGCAAGAGGCCCTGATTTGCTCTTTGGGTGGTATCCCTGGGCTTTGGGGGTAGGGGTGTGTGGGAGAGGGAAGCACAGGACAACTCATTTTCAGGAATGCTGCTCTTGTTTATGGGCACACACACCTCACCACTCTGGCCTCCAAGGAGCTGATTATTGACCATCCTTAAAGAACCTGACCTCATGATTCTGTTCCTACTCCAGAGAGATAAGAGGCCTGCAGCTTGTCTGGAACATCAGAGTATGACAGCCACCACGCTCTCTTCTAGAACCTGTCTAGGCCTCTTTCCCAAAGATGCCCCTCCTCAGCCCCAAGCTAGAGGCCTGAGGGCACAAGGCCCTCCCCTTGGCCACAGCTGATTGGATTAGGGATAGACACCTGACCCAGCTGGGCCAATCAGATGCTCTCCCAGGAATTTAGCCTTGGGGCATCTTGGGGGTTCTAGGCAGTCTTCGTTGGCTGCCTGAAGGCTTTATGCCAGGCACAGTTGTGGGCCTCAGGGAGATGGAAGGGAACAGACTGGGGTGGGGTGGGGGTCACCTGAGGCAGCCGTTTCCCCTCATGTTCACAGAGCAGCAGCAAAAACTGAGAGGGAAGCAGCGTTCGCGGAGGAAAGCAGAGATCAGAGGCCTCGGGGCAGCAGAGACAGGAGAGATGGAGCTGCCAAGGCTCCTGCTGGCTCCCCGGTTGATCCCCAGAGGCCGCCTGCACTTCCTGTCCTTGAATTGCAGAGATAGCCTCATGTTCTTCCCATAAATTCTCCCTTTTTACTTAAGCTTGCGCAAGTGGGCTTCTGTTTTGTGCCGCTAGGCTATCCCTGCCCGAGGCGCACCACGTGATACAATTAGCTCACAGTCCCTAAGGGACAATTTATCCTTTTTGCAGACTCTCTGCCATAAATTTTAAACCTCCACCTGGTTTCCCCTTGCCAACCAGTGAGTGTCCTTCTGGGCTAACTTTTGTTCTCCCAGGCTGCCAATGAGCTCGTGTCACCAGCCCCAGTGGCCTTTCCTGCCCCTTCCTCTCCTGTCCTCTCATTGCTCCACAGGCCTGACCACTCCTTCCTCCCATACTCTCTCCCCCCATGTGGCTCCTGTGACACCCCTCTCTCCTGCATCTCTTCCTCCCTCTCCTCCGGCTCTTCATTTGTCTCCTTTCTGGGCAACTTAAGTGCCCCACTTTGTTTGCTTGTAAGCCTCTTAGCATTCTCTCAGGCTCCCGGGTACACCCTCCCTCACCAGGGTTTCCATCATCACCTGTTTTCAGACCCAAGTTTGTACCTCAGTTTGGCCCTCTCAGGTCCCCCTTCCCATCCAGCTGCTGGAAGCATGGATGTGGGCACCCCACTGACCCCTCAAACTTTATGTGCCCTGAAATGGTCTCAATAGCTCCCCTCCCACATCTGGGCCTCCTCTTGTGTACCCTAGTTTGGTTAATGAGGCAGAAAGTTTCTGTGCCCTTCATCCGTGACACTCAGACCCAGGAAATTTTGGCAGGGAAATCTTGCCAGGCTCCTCATCCCTTTGCCAGGAAATACCCACCTTGGGCCTCACTCAATCGTGATTCCAATTTCTTTGACTTTCTCCTTGCTGCTCACATTAGAATGAGTCACATGAACTCTCTGGCACTTAGGTGCTCCCTGCCCCTCACACTAAGGCCCACTGGTCCAGCCTGAGAACCGTGAAAAAAGCATGTCATGGCTGAAGGCTGTCAGCTGCTCAGAGAAGCTGTTCTGTAGGCCTTTGCTTCCCCACAGCGGCTCCCTTCCTTTGTGGGTATCAGTTAGAGACCTTCAGCGAACTAGGAGAGCAAGGGGAGCAGAAGCTTGTCAGGCCATGGCTTGGGGCAGGGGGCAGGGAGGGTAGGGTAGGGGGGTGCAGGGAGGAGGGGAAGGGGGAGGCAGGCTGGGAGGAGCAGGAAGGCCCCACCCTGGTGCAGGCCATTTGCGCTCAGTGCAGGTGCCCAGTGTCCCTGCCTTCACCCTGTGACCTGAGATCTCAGATCACAACTGATAAGGCCACATCTCCCCCATGGCACTGCTGGAGTGACCCCAATCCCCATCATCCACAACATAAGGCACCATTCATGAGGAAGTGCTCCCTTGGGGTATAGTAGGCAAGGGAGTGCTGGCTGCTACAACAGATAAATGCCCAAGGTGCAGGGACTTACTGCAGAGGAAGATGGTGTATCACTGACATGAAGTCCAAAAATGGGTGTTCCCCAAGGCTAGGAGGTTCTCCTCTCTGCAGGTGATTTGGAGGTCCAGGTTCCTTCCATCTTGCATCTCTGCAGGACTCACCTGCATCAATGTGTCAAAAGGGAAAGAGCACATGGGAAGTTTTTAGAAGCCAGACCTGGATGGCACATTTCTCTTCTCTGTTCACATGCCATTGGCCAGAACAAGGTCATGTGGCCACACCTGGGATTATGTAGTCTAGCAAAACCAGTTTGAAAAGCAACTAGGAGATTTCTGCCCCAGAGGCAAACCACAGTAAACCACTGGTCTCAAGACATCATGTGCTGCTGCAGAGAGAGATTCTGAGGGACTAGGGCACAGAATGGGACCATCTTGGACTGGAAAAGCCTCTGGGGGAAGAGGGTGGAGAGTGGGGGATGGGAAGCCTAGGCTCCCAGGAAGCCAAGTGACTGGACCTCTGAGGAGATCCCTAAAATCAGAGAGGTAGCCCTGAATTCAGGTGACAATGTTCTGCTTCAGCCCAAGTGCCTGACTTGTCCCTCAACCCCTGCTATACACAGTCTCTTGCAAGAAGAGCCTCTGAGGGGCTTACTGGGCCTGCTGTGGGCCTGCAGGTAGGCCTGCACAACCACTTGACTTTCAGCAAGGACCAGTTACCCCAGCCCTTGTGCTGCTGTGTCCTACAACTGGGGAATGACTTGAAGAGGCAGCTACCGCGATAAGAAGATGATCCCAGGCTCTTACCCTCACAGTAAGAGATTCACCTGTAAAAGACGTAAGGGATCAGATGATCAAATGACTGTGCTGTCCAGCTCAGTAGCCATTAGTCACATGTGGTGATTTATATTTAAGTAGATTAAAATTTTTTTAATTTGGTTCCTCAGTCACACTGGCCGCATTTCAAGTGCCTGGTAGTGACATGTGTCTGGTGGACACTGTATTGGGCAGTACAGATAGGGAGCATTTCCATCATTGTAGAAAGTTCTATTGGACAGCACTAATCTAGAAGGTGCCTTCCAATGCTGATGGTCCATGACTTTACGGAAAACAATGTACAGTAAAAATGTAATGTCTGGTAGCCAGAGCACTAGAGAGGGAAAGAGGGAAATAAAAAGGTGAGAAGAGAGAAACAGGAAGACACGTAGAGGGAAACATCTAGAAAGGAGAAATGCCCAGATGCAAGACACAGGCCATTGCAGACATGGGGGTTGTTTACAAGATCAGAGGAGACTCTGGTGTCTTAAGAAAAGTGGTTTGGTTGTGTGGAACTGGATGGACGGTAGGCGCTGAGGGAGTCTGAGGCATCTCTCTACCTCTCTCTTGGGGCTGTGGGTTGGTTCTGCTCCTCCCTCTTCTCCTTCCACCAGCCATGCTGTGCTCCTCGCAACTTAACCAGCCGCAGACAGACTGATGCTGCCTCTGGCCATGGCTGAGTGGCTTGGATCCTCTGTGCAGCTGAGAGAAATATTGCCCTGCAGTGAGAACCAGCCTGCCTGACTTGTCTTTCCTCACCAGACCACTCCATGCTATGGCTCCCAGATCTGCCTCTGATTGACTGGTCCTGGGTCAAGGGCACTTTCTAGCCCAATCAGCTGCAGGCACTGGGGTGGGATGGACTACATGGAAAAGAATATGACTACCCAGATGGCAGGACTTGATGAGTGGACAGGTTCCTTATGAAGGGAGCATGGGGTGCAGACAGAATGAGGCTTGGCTGGCTCAGAATAGAGGGAAACCACACACTCATCAAAGCTGTGTAGACAAAGAGGCCCCTCCACCCCTTTCTTCCTACCGCGAGCAGATACAGGCATACCTCAGAGATATTACAGGTTCAATTCCAGACCACCATAATAAAGTGAATATCGCAATAAAAATGAATCAAATGAATTTTTTGGTTTCCCAGTGCATATGAAAGTTATGTTTACACTAGACTGTAGTCTATTCAGTGTGCAATAGCATTATGTCTAAAAAAAGATGTACGTACCTTAATTAAAAAATACTTTATTGCTCACAGATGCTAACCATCATCTGCACTTTCAGCAAGTGGTAATCACTGATCACAGATCACCATAACAAATACAATAATAATAATGAAAAAGTTTGAAATACTTCAAGAATTGCCAAACTGTGACACAGCGACATGGGGTGAGCAAATGCTGTTGCAAAAATGGCACCAATTACTTGCTGGATGCAGGGTTGCCACAAACCTTCAGTTTGTTAAAAAACACAGTATCTGTGAAGCACAATAACACAGAGCACACTAAAATGAGGTATGCCTGTAGTATGCACCTACTATGGGTGTGATTCTATACTCAGCAGAATATGGGATGACAAAATGAAACAGAACTGGAAGTAGCATTGTCTCTCCAATCCAGGCTCTTCAGTTGGCTGTGTGGCCTTGAGCAAATTCCTAACTTCTCTGTGCCTCAGTGTTGCCACCTGAAATGGTAGATAATAGTACCTCCTTCACAGGTTGTTGTTTGTTGCTTAGAATAGTGGTGGGCACATTGTAAGCATTATGTAAATATTGGCTATGATTATTATTAGCATGCAGGAGTTTATGGTCCTGTGTGGACCACAGATGAGTAATCAAATTGTAATGACATGTGATGAGTTTGATAATCAAGGTGAATGAGAAATGTGCATGGTTTCAACAGTCTGGCAGTCCTTTCAGGCTTAGAAAGAATAAGCAGCAGCCTCCTTGGCTCTACCCCGATTTCTGCTACCAGAAAGAACCAGTTTTGACTCTCTGGTCTGTTTCTTTTCATATTTACCTTCAGGTTTCTACATAACGTGCTTACACTGTTATTCTTTGATACATGAATCTTAGACACTGTCCATCTGTTGTGGGTTGAATTGTGTCCCTCTAAAAGCTGATGAAGTCCTAAGCCCCAGTACCTGTGAATGTGACCTTATTGGGATGTAGGGTCTTTGCAGATGATTCAAGTTCAGATAGTCATGAGGGTGGACCTAGTCCTGTATTATTGGTGTCCTTATACAAGAGGAAATTTTTCATAGACACAGACGTGCACACAAGGAGAATGCCATGTGAATACTGGAAAGATGCTGCCACAGCCAAGGACAGACCAGCAGCTGGGAGAGAGACCCTGAATGCATCCTTCCCCAGCGCCTTGCCTCCTGAACTGTGAGACAATTTATTTCTGTTGTTTAAGCCACTTTGTGGTACTCTGTGATGGCCATCCAAGAAAATGAATCCACCATTGGTTTTTTTTTACTTGAAAAGCAAATTCAACTCCCCCCTCCTTGCACTGACACTGTGTCTTGCCTTTATTATCCTAATAAAATCACATCACTGTTTTTTGTGAAATCAATATTCAGTGTTTGTAAGTATGTAAATGTATTCACTGCCATGGCATGTAGTATGCTTGGAATACATGTCCTTCACGGTACAAATTTCTGTTTTCCTTAGAGTTAGTATTTCTCTCTCACCCCTTTTTTGTTGGCTTAGCTTTTGGGTACTTCCAAATAAACCCCTCAGCTTCTTGGTTTTTTGCTGTGTGACCCCAGCCCAGATCCTGCGAGCTCCTGCTGCCACCGGCCCGGGGTCACTCTGGGCTCACTGCCCAGTGATGCCCTTGGGATCTCCCTTCAACATCCAAGTGACAATTCTCCTCTCCTCTCTCCCGTATGTGAGCTCTCCAGTTTTCTGAGTCCCATGCTTTCCACATTCATAGTTTACTTTATTAGTTCTCTACTGCTGTGTAACAAGTCACCCCAAAATTTACTGGCTTGGGATGACAATCATCATTTATTAACTCTGTTTTCAGGACTGCACCCCCTTTGCAGTCTGGCATCTTTGCAGTCAGCTGAACATGGTGTCCTGAATCTAGGGGCCTTTGGGTTGATTCTCTCCTGAGCATGAACCCCCAGGCTCTGATGGGGTGGGAGGTGGGGTGTGGCTGTAAGTTGACATGGCTGGTCGAAGTAGAGCAATTTAATGCTTCTTTAACAGACAGGCAGACAGCCCTGTTTTCAGCCAGTCTGTACCTTCTGCAGTACTGCCGTGTCCGATTCCTCAGCCCTTCTTGGGCTCTGCTGCCTGAATCTGCTTGCTTCTTGCAGCCTCTACCCCCATAAGCACTGAGCGTTCTCTGGTCTGCTTTACTTTTTGTCCGTTTGCTTTCTGGCTTCCAAAATATTGAGGACATCTTTCAGGGGCTGNAAAAAAATCTGGTTACTGTCATTACAGTGAGGCCTTTGGGGGAGACAGTGGAGGACGAATGTGAGGGCGCTCTGTAATTCCATGGCTAACTGAAAGTCACCTATCCCTTTTTTCCATTCAATAAATGTTGGGGTGCTCCGGCAGTAGAAACCGTGTCCTATATTCTGTAGGTAATCTCGCCACAGTAAATGCTTACCGATTTGCGCTGAATCCCACACTGGTGAGATCGCAGTGACGAGACGGTCATTTTGGAGAAGACGTTTGAAGGGGACCGCCGGTCTCTACCGTCTCTCCACGATGCCCGAGCGCTGGTATCTTTGCCCTGGCAAATGTCAGGCCCGCTCAGAAGAAGTTCCCTGCTTCCCGGTTCTGCTTTAGCTTGCAGGGCCGGCGGGAAGGTCCTTTGCTGAGTGAATCATCCACCCACGCCTTTGCTTTTAGTTCACTTCCTGTTGGCTTCAAAACACAAAGAAGCACCCAGGACCTCCCCAAGCCGCCCATGAACAGGTTGGCCGGGAGAGGCGTTGTTTGCTGATCTGTGTGTGTCTGTGGTGGGGGGATTATATAGAAGGGAAGGTAATTCAAGTTGAGAGGGAGGGGCCAGGAGAGAGAGGGACACGTCAGAGAAAGTCGAGAGATTCAATCAAAACAGCAAATGTGTTCAGGAACCTAGATTAGCAAAGTTTAGGAGCTCCAGGGAAGGCTGTGGTTATGTAGCTATAGGCAGCTTTTTGCTGCAAGAAGGAAGCAGTGGCGAAAATACCAGCTAAGGTGGCGCCATAGAGCTTGAAGACCGCCTTGACCTCTCCCCCGCACCCCCCATCCATGCAGGTTGGGGCACCACGAGGAGTGTTAGTAAGTGGTCCAAGGGCTTTCTGCCTGCTGTGCTCAAGGGCAGCTCCCCACCAGACCTCTGTGGACAGGAGGAGAACTGAATTGAGGGACCAGGTGCCAGCAAAAGTCTCCTTTTGAGAATGCAGCTTGAAATCCTCCGTTACTACAGCCAGAACCTGGCTCCCTGAATAGTCCCCAGGCTAATGAACACCCAGCACTTACACCTCTGATTCGCAGCAAGGTGTGTGTGTCATGAGAGGTAAACAGGTCATTTCTTCTTGAAGTGTAGCATGCATATGGCAGAGTACACAGATCTTAGAGGCACAGCTCCATGAATTTGTGTATATATATAGATGTAAGTAACCATTGCCCAAATTGAGACATAGAACAATTCCCGCACCTAAAAAGATTCCTTCATACCCCCTCCTAGTCAATGTCCCCATAAGCAACCACTATTCTGACCTCTAGCATTATCGATTAGTTTTGCTTTTCCATGAACTTCTTAAAATGGAACCCAACAACATTTACTCTTTTGTTTCTGGCTTCTTTCACCATGATGTCTGTAAGATTCATTCTTGTTACTGAGGTCTCAGTAGTTTGTTCTTTTATATTGCTGCGTAGTATTCCATTATATGCCTACACCTCAATTATCTGTCCTTCCCTGTTGATGGGGATGTGCAGCTTTAGTGCATTCATTCACAATTCCCAGAGCATCCAGGCAGGACTCAGTCCCCCAGCAGCATCTTTGAGTGGCAAGGTCCTTCCCTTAAAAACCCACCAGACTTGCTGTGTGAGGGGAATTATTCACAAGATGAGGCTTTGGTTACTTGCCCAAGACAGTGGAGGATACAAACTGATGAGCTCCTTGGAGCCCACAGAGCTGGGAGTCTGAAAGCCCAGAGAGGCACAGTAGCCAGGTCCATCGGCTCCCTCCCCTGGGATCCCCCACCCACTCTCCATGGCTCACCAATCCATCCCAACCTCGGCCAAGGCCAGCTTTGTCATCCCTCCCCCAAGGTTCTTCTGCGGCCAACTGAAGCGAAGCCCCCATCAAATATCAGGCCTATGACCAGGAACAACAAAAGCAGGAAAAGCCCCAGGGATGAGATTCTGAGCAGCTGACACTGGGCTTTAACCTCCTCACCCTGCCATTGTGAGGACAGCCCTGTCCTTAGCCCAAGCCTACAGACCCTTTATGAGATCTGGCTGGGGGGCAGGGGCCCCAGACAAAGGCCAGGGTTCTGCTGAGCTTATTGAAAAGAGAAAGAGCCCATTGATATGCGTGGGAGTCCCTCGCTCTCTCTGTTTCCCCCTTCCCCATCCCTGCTCCCTCCCTCCCACTGGCCTGGAGTGGAGTGAGCTCAGTACAGGGCACGCTTTGGGCACGGCTGGACCAACTCTGAGGCAGCTTGTTGTGACCCCTCCCAGGATCTGCTTTCCTGGAGCACTGGATTTGACCTGTGCTTCCCCACCCCCAACACACACTCACACACACACACACACACACACACACATTGGCTGTGAGGAGACAAGTGGAAAAGTCCTGGCACATCATTATCAGCAACGGCAGTTTCCTATTCCTGTCTCAGGCAGTGGGGCCCACCTCTACCAGACTTCTTGGAGCCCTCTGCTACGCCCCAGTTGTTGACATCCTTCAAAGAGCCCCCATTCAAGTTTGGCCTTACTTTGCAGTCTTGAACTTGCTGTCCCTTCTGAGGGGAATACATTTACCCTGCTCTTTGCTTGTCTGCCTCTCTCTGTCATTCACGTCTCAGCTCAAGCACCACCTCAGAGAGGCCTTCCTTGACCACACTAGCTAAGGCAATACCTCCAGAACACATCACCCGTTTCATTTTCTCAATGGCATTGATAGGTTATCTACACATTTGTTTATGTGATTATGAGCTTTTTCCTCCATTTGGTATGTAAACTTACTATGGACTGAATGTGGGTGTCCTCTGCCCCCAAGTTCGTATGTTGAAACCCTAACCCTCAATATGATGGTATTTGGAGTTAGGGCCTTCAGGAAGTAATTAGGTCATGAGGGTGGAGCCCTCACAAGTGATATTAGTGGCCTTGTAAGAAGACACACTGGACAGTTCCCTCTCTCTCTTCACCATTGGGGGATAACCTAAGAAGACCACTGTCTGCAACCTAAGAAGAAAGATCTCACTAAGAACTCAACTGGCTGGAACCTTGATCTTGGACTTCCCAGGCTCCAGAATTTCAAGAAATGTCTTTTGCTTAAGCCACCATGTGGTATTTTGTTGTAGCAACCTGAGCAGACCAATACAAGACTCCATTAGACCATCTCCATCTGGTCCACCAGTGTATCCCTCCAGCAGGGCCAGCACAGGGTCAGATATTCCAGTTAGCTATTGCTGTATTAAATCACCTGTAAACTTATTGACTTAAAACAGCAACTATCTTTTTTTTTTTTTTCCAACCCTGCAAGGTTTCTGAGTGTCATAAATTCAGACAAGGCATAGCAGGGGCAGCTTGGCACCACTCTGTAATGACTAGCATCTCTGATGGTAAGACTCCAAAGGCTGGTGCTGCAGTCATCTGAAGGCTTGTGCACTCACCTATCTGGCAGTTGATGTAGGCTTTTGGCTGGGATGCCAGCTGGGATATTAGCTAGAACACCTACACATGGTCTCTTCACAGCTCTCTCCATGGAGGCTAGTGTGGGCTGCCTCACAGCATGGCTGCTGACTTCCAAGTGTGAACATCTCAAGAGGGGTAGACAAAAGTGGTGTCCCCTTTTAAAACCTAGGCTTGGGAATCAAAGAGTATTTCTTCTGGTCTAGTTAAATGCCCACCCAGATTCAAGAAGAGAGAACATAAACTCCACCTCTTGAGGGAGATGTCTCAGCACTACATTATAAGAAAATCATGTGGGCTGGGATATGTCATGGAGGCCATCTTTGGAAAACATAATCTGCCACATTACTCAGGAAATATTTGTTGATTGATGGCTGCTTTATGCTCCCAACTTCTTTCACTTCTTTCTCCACCTCCCTGCTTTGCCACTTATCAAACACTGGGAAAACGTTTTATCAGTATGTTCACCAGAGAAACAGAACCAGCAGTATATATATATATATATGTATATATGCGTATACAGTTGACTCTTGAAGAACACAGAGGTTGGGGTGCTGACCCCCTGCCTAGTCAAAAATCTGCACTAACTTTTGACTCCCTAAAAACTTAACTTTTAATAGCCTACTGTTGACCAGAAGCCTTACCAAATTTACCAATAACATAAACAGGTGATTAACATGTATTTTGGGTTATATGTATTATATACTATATTCCTACAGTAAAGGAAGCTAGAGAAAAGAAAACATTTTTTTCAGATTGTTGCAAATCTCCAAAAAGTTTTCCAATATATTTATTGAAAAAATCTGCATATAACTGGACTCACACTGTTTAAACCCATATTATTCAAGGGTCAACTGTGTGTGTGTGTGTGTGTGTGTGTGTGTGTGTGTGTGTATCAACATATATTTAAATTTACTTATTTATAAAGAGATTTATTTTAAGGAATGGAAGCACACAATTATGGGAGCTGATGAGTCTGAAATTTGTAGGGCAGGCCAATGGACTGGAAACTCAGACAGGAGTTAATGTTGTGGTCTTGACTCTGAAATCAGCAGGACAGGCTGCCAGGATGGACACGCAGGCAGGATTTCTGTGTTGCAGTCTTGAGGTGGAATTCCTTCCTCTCCAGGAAACCTCAGTGTTGTTCTTAAGGCCTCTAACTGATTGGATGATGCCCAGCCACATTATCGAGGGTAATCTGCTTTAGTTAAAGTCAACAGATTGTAGATGTTAATCACATCTCCAAAATACCTTTACAGCAACATCTAAAGTAATGTTTGACCAAACAACTGCGTGACACAGCCTAGCCAAGTTGACACATAAAATTAAACATCACACTTACCCTCGTGAACCAGCTTTTCCGCCTGTGAAGTGAAGATAAAGGTCCTTTACAAGGCTGCCAGGAGAATAAAATGAGAACTGGTACATGCAGGGGGCCTCTACAGGAGCTCTCAGGGTCTTTTCTCCTGATGTTCATGACTTTGTGTAATCCCCTCCCCTTGAGTGTAGGCTGAGTCTGCTGACTCACTTTAATGACTAGAAATAGAATACGGCAGAAGTAATGGGATGTCGCTTCTGGGATTCAAGACTTGGTTTCCATCTTGCCCACTCTCTCTTGCTCTCTTGCTCAGTCACTCTGAGGGAAGCCAGTTGCCATGTTGTGAGCTGCCTGTGGCTCGTGTGGTGAGGAAATGACCTGTCCAGCCAATAGCCAGAGAGGACCTGAGGCCACCAACAGCTCTCTGAGTGAGCTTGGAAGTAGAGTAGCGTCTGTTGCTCTGGCCGACACCTTGATTGCCCCACTAGAGTCCCTGACTAGAGGCACCCAGTGAAGCCACACCTGGATTCCTGACCTGCAGAAACTTTGAAATAGTAACTATGTGTTGTTCTAGGCCTCTAAGTTTTGGGGTAATTTGTTGTG